TCACTCACTTGCTCCCTGAGGTATTAATGTGTATGGGTAGATTGTAGGAGCAACTCACTCACAGGTGAATGGCTGTCATCTTAAAATCTCAGTGGAGGGAAGAAAGAAAAGAAGACTTTATTATGTTTCCCAAACATCTGGCCTTCCCAAATATGCCATCAGAAATGGGGCCAGGTGCATAAGGCATTAGAGTGATCACTGGCTTAGAGGGAAAGCTGCTGTCTTAGAACAGTGGCAGTTTCCTGTGCCTCCTCCACCACTCCCAGGCAGCACTCTTGTTTTCACATTACTCCTGTGCCCCAAACTCATGATGATCTGGCTCCCTTTCTCCTGTTCTTCAGAAACAGAACTGAAAATAATTCTTGAAACTTGGTAGATTCACAATAAATACCAGACACACTGGCCACTGGCTAACCCCGTCACCTACCCTATTTGAAACCTGCCTACCCTATCCTGTGGAAATCCCTTAGAGACAGCAGCCTGTGATTTTCTCATTGCCCTTGTTTCTTGAGCTTTGGGTCATTTGGTTCATATTTCTAGATGTGGGAAGTCTTTTAAGTGCCATGTTCTATGGCAAATCCATATGAATATATGTTTTTAATTACGCCATTATCTACTATTTAAAAAAATTAAGTATAGCTTTTTATATTTAAAGAAAAATAATAGATATATGATCAGTTGCTCTGTGGTTTGCATGTCAATAACAAAACCCAAACACATATTTATAGAGTACTTTTTAAAAATATGTTCACAACATTTCATCATGATCCTGTAAACTTTCCAGCTTTCCTGAGAAGCGAGTTCCATGTCACCACTTCTGGAAAGGTCATTTCTGAGAACCCTGGCATATTGAAATATTGCAAAGGAAACAGGTAGTCCAGAGGTTTCCAGCTGCCTACTCAGTCTAGAAATCAGAGAAGCTGGAAGGCTTTTAGACCCACATCTGGAATCCTTGTGATTCTTCATTGCTTTTGTAAGAATGACTTGTTGGTGATGTTTTTTTGTTGTTATGAGAAAACAAACCTGAAAAGCAAAGCCACTTCAAAGAGGCTCGAGGAGAGTGGCAGAGATGGAAATACTGGCACCATGAGAACTGGTAATTGGCAACCAGAGCTCCCTTCTTTGCCTCCCCTCATCCCCAATCAGTTTTATGCATTTATCAGTGCCCCTTACCTGAACCCCTTCATTTTTCAAACACCTATCATTTTGAGATCATATCCCTATATTTTGAGTTGTACTTCTCTTCGTTATATTTATCAACTTTTTATATTTATGACATTCATCATGATTTTGGACCCACCAAACTACCATTATTATTCTCTAGTGTAATAATGGGTTTATTTTTACCTCTTCCTATAATTCCTATGAATTGGTAGCACAAACATAGACAGTCATTTTAAACCATTAATATGAATATTCTTTTTAACATTTAGTCATTGTTCGATTAAAATATTTGTTCCTAAATGAAAAAAGATATTTATTCATTCCCATTTTATAGAGCTACAAATTTAAGCCATGTATTAACATTTTTGGGATCATAGCTGTCCAGTGAGTTAAATCCTTACATGTAATCCTATTGGAATTTCAAAGGAAATGTCATTGCAACCTTTATTTCTTATTATTCCATGCAGAACTAACCAGCAACTTTTTATAAAAATGCTGCTTGATGTTCAAGTTTTATTGGATGTTCCTCTAAACCTTTAAGTCAACTCCCTATGTCCAAGTAGATGGAGCATTCTTCTAAAACATTTTTTTTAAAAAATATTGGAAGTTACTTGGTATATGCAAATTTTAAATTTGCAAACTCTCCAGGTTCCTAATCTATTCAAACTTTGGAAACAATGCTTTGAGTAGAAATGTTTAAATGGTATTGAAAGCAGGGAGGGGAAAGACAATAATAGAAATGACAGATAGGGAAGTGAAGGCCTAGATGACAAGACAACGCCACCTCAGAGTGAAGCACTGCCATCCCTGAGATTTAAAGAGGAGAAGATCCTTTAAATTTAGACTTTGCTGTGCTTTTTTGGGGCCAAATTGCAGCTATTACATTATATATAGATTGGGAATATTTGAATGAATCTCCTTTCTTTTAAAAAGGAAATTGTACCATTAGAAAGAATTGCTTAGAAAGACTTATACTAAATCCAAATGCCTTTTAAAATATTTCTAGGCTTAGAGAACTATATATTTAGGATCAAATAAGTACATTCTGATACTGCAAGCATTCACAAATATATTTTACTTTACTAAATACATAAAAAGTGTTCTGATGGTTAGACAATTTTTTGTATAGCATAAATTCAAAAATTTTCCCTGACTTTACAACAAAAGCTCCTGGTGCCCTTATCTTTTGGAACATATACTATTGCTATATTTGTATTAAAGGTGATCTTTGTGATGTCCTTCACATATATTTTAAAATTCTTGTTAATATTTCTTTATAATATTGACATTTTGGGTTTCAATACCTGAGGTCTTTATATAAAGATTGTTAACTAGATTTATTAGCATTATCTTTCCCTAATAATAAGACAGGGAAAGAAATACAAGTTCTGAGTTTCTGTGCAAGAAAACAGCAATGCTTAAGTAGTGCTCCTAGTGATAAATCCAGTCCCTTATTTGGTGCCATTGATATACTGATGTTCCAAATTAGGGAAAGAAAATCACGTCATTTTTTCCTATGTGTCTATATTTATCTTTCAAAATGCCTTGAATTTTAATTTACACACAGTATAACACACTTATTTTTAGCATATGGTTGTAGTAGTTTGAACTAATTTCAATACCAATGTAACCACCATTTCATTCAAGATATAGAATTTTTCCAAAATTCCCAAAATTCTTTGTACCCCTTTTCTGTTCATTCTCCCCAAAGTCCTACCCTAAGCAACCACTGGCATACCATCTATAGGCTAGCTATGCCTGTTCTAGAACTTCATGTAAATGAAAACATGTTGTATGCAGGACTTTATGCTTAGCTTCTTTTCCTTGGCCATTTTGTTATGTGTATCAGTGGTTTGTTTCATCTAATTAATGAGGGGTGGTCTATTGTTTGAATATATCCTAAATTATCTATGTGCCTATTAGTGCTTAGTTGGGTTATTTCTACTTGGAGGAAAAGAGAGCTATTATAAACATTGTGTGCAATGTACTTTTGTGGATGTATGGTTTTGATGTATTTTGAGTTAATATCTAGGAATAGAATTGTCAGGTCATACTTTAAGTGTATGTTTTAACTTTATAACAAATGTCAAATTGTTTGTCATGGTGCTTACACCATTTTACAGTCCCAGAGTGGATGGACATGAGCTTCAATAGTTATCTTCACCAACACTTGATATCATCAGTCTTTTTAATTTTGGTCTTTCCAAAGGTTGAGCAATGGAATCTCACTGTAGTTTAATTTTCATTTCAACATTAATGATGTTGAGTATGTTCTTATATGCTTATTTGCTAGTCATAGATTTTCTTTTGAAATTGTTTATTCATATTGTTTTTTGTTTATTTTGTAGTGGGATGTTATTTTGCAAGAATGCTTCATATACACTAGATTTAATTTTTTTCTCAGACATGTGTACAACATATATCTTCTCTAAGCCTGACTCAATTTTAATTTATTCTTATTGATGTTTTTAATTTTGATGAAGTCTGTTAAGGGTTGAATTGCATCCTCCTCAAAAAGCACTTTGAAGTTCTAATTTTCAGCACCTCAGAATGTGATCTTGTTGGAAACAGATTATTTACAGAGATAATCAATTAAGATGTGGTCATTAGTGTGGGCCCTAATACAGTGTTACCCTTACCCCTTTAGTGTTTCCCTACTTTAAGGGAAAATTTAACACAGGAAGAACTCCATGAAAAGATGAAGGGAGAAATCAAAATGATACCACTAAATATCAAGAAATGTCAAAGATTTACATCAATCACCAGAAGTCAGGGGGAAAAAAGCATACAAGAGATTCTCCCTCTCACCTATCAAAAAGGAGCCAAACCTGTCATCACCTTGATCTTGGATGTACAACCTCCTGAAATGTGAGGAAATGAATTTCTATTCTGTAAGTCATACGGTTTTTTGATATTTTGTTAGGGCAGTCCCAGAAAATTAATACAGAGTTTTTTTTACCCATTGTTGGGGTTTATTGTATCATAGCAGACCTTTGTCTTTCTCAAGATTATTAAGATTTACTCCTGTGTTTTATTTTAAAGCTATATTACTTTTAAATCACACATAAGATACACTCCACACATTTCCCTAATCACTATTCACTGAGTTTCATATTGAATTTTCTAATGTCTAAGACAGTACTTATTTCTGTTACAATTCCTAGAATTAATCATAGTTTCTAATAGTCATGCAAATATACCACATGAATTTGTGCCCACATTTTCAAGTTCAATTTGGAGTGAGTTTAGCTTCCAAGAGGATAAGGCTCAATGCCCCTTTGGTTCCTTCCCACTACATTGGAGATGATGTATTAATACTAATTTTTGAGTGCCCAGCAGAGTTCTGATATTATTTCTAATGTCCTTTTCTACTCAAGGTGGACTGTTTATGTTCAGATAAGATAGGTGTAGCTTTGGATTAATATTAACAAAGTTCTGAAGCAGGAAATCTCTTTCCTCTTGGATTCTCAATAATGCCAACATTCCCAATGACAATGTATCACCTTACCACTCTACTGCAAGAAAGCAGATATTACCTCCAATTAAGAAATTAACATCTTCACTGAAATTTACTTTTATAAAATTTTGTTCCTTATAGTTTAGAAAACAAAAACCTTTTAATATTATAAAAAGTGCTATGAAAATAATTCAGTAAATTTACTCTATAAATTCTTTTGGACTGGAATACTCAGAAGCTGATAGAAGTTCCTGTTTGATTTTTACATTGTTGTATTACAGACACATTGCTGTTTTCTGATTCTTGGAGTTCTGTTGTGTGTGACAGTCAAGACTTAAATACACTAACTCTGAATGTTTTCCATACATTAATACCTTACCCTTGACTGATAGGTGTCTCCATGTCACAGTTGGCTCTGGTCTGCCAATAGCAAGACACAGCAGGGTCACGCTGCTTCCCTCATTCACGGTGATGTCTGAGGATATGTTCATGATCTGAGGAGGAACTATAAAGAAACAGAAAAGAGAAGAAACACCTGAGAACTATTCTTTCCACTTAAAAGATGTGTTATCATGATGAATATTGTTCTCATTCACAAAAATTTTATGTTGCTTGGTTAAATAAAATTTTGGCCACCAACAGCATTTACGGTGTTCTCCTGAAAGGCAAAGCTCAGTATTTTATTTGGTTGAAACAGGAGACAGGGGCTTCTGTGTGGATGGTGAGGGAACAGAGGAAATGAAGACATGGACATTTCTGCTATTGACTTAAGGCAAAATCAAAGCAAAAATACAAAGTCTTCCAAGGGCCCAGTCTATCCATATACTCATTCCTTGTATTGGAATCAATGGCTGAAGTGAGTAACCATGAGTAGTCCCCAAAGACCTTTTCAAAACTCTTACCAAAAAGATCAAACACACTGAGATAGTTAAGATTTCCTAAGCATTCCAGATCTTTTCAAAAATTTTTGAACTTGTACAAGAATAGTCCATCCTGGAATTTTCTTCTTCTTGTTGCTTAACCTAAAAATTTCTGACCACTCTTAAAACACACCCTTAAACACTCAGTGAAAATTTCTCAGACTCTTTCAGAGTTATTTGGCTTTCTCCCTGGACTCAACCAACAAGCATTAATGTCCCTGCTGCTTTTGTCAACATGAAATTGTACAGACACTCTTCAACTTAGGATGGAGTCATGTCTAGTAATACATTGTGACTTCAAAATAACCTAAGTCTAAAATGCATTTAATATACTTAACCTCCCAAATATCATAGTTTAATAACCCAGTACATTGTGGAGTATAGGTGGTTTCCCCTTGTGATCATATGGGTGATTTGGAGCTTGGCTCACTGCCACGGCCCAGCATAGTGAGTTTTATACTGTATAACATTAACCTGGGAAAATATCCAAAATCAAAATTCAAAGTAAAATTTCTACTGAGTGAGAATGATTTCCTATTAATGCAAAAGTTAAAAAAATAATAAGTATAGCCATCATCAGTATGGAACTAAACTGTATTTTAAAGGTATGGTATTCTAGTGGTCAGGGCCAGGGTTCTGGGTCCATTTACATCAAGATTTGAATCTTGGCTTAGCTCCTCATCTACTGTATTTCTTCATAAGTAACCCTCCTTTAACTCTTTGAGTTTGGTGTGCTCACCTGTGAACTGCAGGTGACACTAGCAACTAAATTCACAAAGTTGTGAGGTTTAAATGAAATAATGACATAATAGAGTATCTGATTTAAAGGAAGCACTCAATAAGTGTTAGTTGATAGGACAATCATGATGATGATGATGATGATGATGATGATGATGATGATGATGACAGCAACAATAACATCTTTCAAAAATATCATTTTCCACTCATGGGCCAATACCATCTCTCTGTATCTTTAGCACTGCAGAACATACACAATCCCTTATCTTACTACCTATCTTGCCTATCTCAAGCCTTGATTATCAATTCAACTCAAAGCTCATTATGGAGAAAACCTAGATTCCTTCTCAATTTTTACTCCACATCACCATTGTTCTGGTTGTATTTCTCACTGATCTCCACAAGGACATCTGCAATACCCTCCAATCTGAAATCTTCCATTTGGTCTCTGCAGTTTTTGGTCCCTCTAATCTATTCCTTACTAGGCTAGAGTGATCTTTTCAGGCAATAATCTAACCAAACTACTCTCCTTTGTACTCTTACAGCTCACCATGACCAACCAGATGTAGACAATCTCCTCTGCATGACTAAAGGGCTGGGCACTCTAACCCCAAATCCACTGCCAATCTTCCTCCCCAGGCACAGTTACCTCTAACACAGCACACTGCGTATCTTCACTCTACCTGCAATATGAGAAAAGCATAGGTGCTTCCATAGTGTTGCTCCTCCTCCTCCTTTGTTGCTTCTTTTCTTATAAAGGTATCTTTTAAGATACCTTCTTTTCTTATAAAGGTATTCAAATGTCACCTCCCCTCTGCTGTTTTCCCTAAACTCTTCTCACATCCCAAAACCATCTATTCAGGTGCATCTTGTCCAAACCTGATTCAGGAAGGAGACTGAGCATGTGGCATTACAGGCAATGTTTTCATGCCTGTCTCTTTCCCAGGAGAGCAAGTGGTGGAGGTCAAGCAGCGATCACACACATCTCTATTTCCTCAGTGTCTGGCACAGAGGCTGGAAAGATTGCATGCTTAATTCCTCTTTGAATTAAAGATTCAAAGAACAGATTTAGCAGAATTCCAAAAACTAGGGTAGTTAAGACTTTGAATGGGAGATTTCAGACACCTAATATGTTATTTCCAATTTTCTTTCCGATCTTCAAAATAAAAGGAAACACAACAGAAAGAAGGCTTACAGTCATGCTGATTTGTATGTACTGCACTTTAATTATGAATTATTAATTATAAAACAGGTAAAGCAATAGTAGATTATAAACCACCTTGAGTCAGTGACAAAAGAGAATTATAGCTGATGCTCAATTCAGACGACTATGCAGCCTGAAGTTTTATGTGGCTGAGACCTTACAGGTAAGTCTTTTCAAGGAGAAGCCATAAGTAATGAGCAGAACATTTGAGCTCTTAAGGGAATCCACATTAGCAAATAAATAAAAATTGCCTAGCTTATAAATCTGCCATATTTTGTATTATTTCTGCATTAGGAATTGCCCTGAAATTTCAGTGCACATATTTTACTGAAATACACAGTGGGAAAAAAATAGTGTACATTCTAACTACACTGCAATCTCTTGAGAAAATGGTTCTACCTGTTTTTCAGTATTTTCTAACTTGTTAAAAAATAGTTCTGGGCTTAGAAATGCCAATACTTTTTTTTTCCACTTCTGTAAAGCAACAACTTCAGTGCAACTTCCAAAATATTCTCAAAATAATGTCTACTTTAGCTGGAAGTACTAGGCCATCTGAAAGTCCCTTTTGTAGACCCTAGAGACTCTCCAGAAGGAAGCTAGACACAGCGTGAGGAAGCACAGTCATGGTGGTGAACCAGGATTTAATACATTGCTGCCATGGTGCTGTGGAATGCAGTGCTCAAGCACAGTGCCTCACCTCAGAGCCATTATTTCCATGGACATTGTATCTCATTGGATGGTTTGAGGGCTGGATGAAAAGATATTTGTAAAATTCCATAGATGTTCATCACGATCTCCTCATTCTCCTGGAGCTCAGTCAATGTTACCCATTAGGAAAGTTTCCTGAAGTGGGATTGCCAGTGGCAAGCCAGACAGTCCCACTAAGTCCACAGTTCTATCTCTCCTTTTCTGCAACTGGATAATGGTCTGTCATTTATCAAAGGAACAAGTAATTTCAAAGGTGTGAGTAGCCAAGTGGAGAACGTGGTTTGGCTTTGTTTATTTTTATTTTTATTAATGCAGTGCTGAGGATCCAACACAGGGTCTTGAGCATACCAGACAAGTATTCTTACCATTGAGCTAGCAATCCCCCCAGCTCTCAGAAAGTGAATTGGGAAGAAGGAAATACTTTTTATTTTCAATTATGGTATTCTCAGCAACCAATGTTAGTAGGTAGCTTTGATTGTAAACTGTCTTGCACATGCATTATCTCACAGATTCCTTAAAATTAGGAGATAAATTGAATAAATATTCCATTAAAATAAAGAAACTGAGGCACAGGGGGAACTAAGTAAATTGTCCACAATTACAGAATTCATAAATGGCAGAGCACATATTATAGTGCCTTTTGATTTAATCTCTTTTCAATCCCCCAAACACAATATTTATATTCATTCGCTTTTGCATATTGTTTCCTTGGCTTCCTAGTCATCCCAGAGCGTCTTCTTTCAGAGCACTTGCCACAATAAACAAAGTCCTCTCATTCAAGTCTGCTTCCCCACTCACCTCCGTTGACAACAGGGATCCCTCTTAACCATTCTTGTTTCTCCAAGGCCCTGTGCATTTTTTGCCAAGGGAGGTATTCAATAATGCTAATTTAAATCTGAAGCAAACTTGGCAATACTATTAAGACTTACTCTTGCTTTCATGATAACTTTTTGCAGAAAAGATCACTTGAGGATGGCTTTAAATGAATCTCCATATTTTGGCAAGAGATCATCGTTCAATGCAGATGAGCATCTGTGGCAAATGAGTCTATATATCACGCTAGTGCTTATAAATATACAAATAAACACAAAGAATGAATAACAATCTTACTTTAAATGCCTAGATTACTCAAAGAAAATGAAATCTTAGGACCTGAGGAGCCTAACTAAAGGATTACAAATAACAGTGTGTTTTTAAATCATGCCCCAAAAGTTATTTACCTTCAGGAACAATTTTTTGGCTTTAATACACACATACACACACACACACACACATACACACACACGTGTCTCTGTTTGTGTGTGTGTGTATATATGAATATATATGTGTGTGTGTATGTGTATATATATATATATATATATATATTCTTAGACATACACAGTAATTTGTGTAACAACATACATATTAGATATTTACTTATGCAACAAATCTTTATTATGGGTCAGCCATAGTTTTAAGTAAGGGGACTATAAGTGATTTATAAAGTCCAACATTTAGTGGGCCTGAGAGATGAGGGGGAAAAAAAGTCATAAAAATGAATACAAAAGCCAAAGCTGTATAAGCATTCTGAAAGAAAATGTAAAGTCTAAGGAGTGATTGTAACAAGAGGATCCTATTGTACAAGAAGACATTTGGCTCCTCTGTTGATAGTGTAGGCTTCTGATTATCTTTTTACTGGGTGATGGGTTATAACAGGCCGTTTGCACAGGCTATGTATTCAGCTCAATGAACTACTATGGGACTTCAAATGTGGTCATCTTAGATAGATGATAGATGTATAGGCAGACAATCCATTACCAGATTATAATCGAGTATTTTAAGGAAAGGGGCAGATTTGTGAAGGTGTCTTTGGGGTCTGGGTCACCATGAAATATGTATGCATTCTTTCTATTTATAGTATATTCAAAGACTCTTTAAGTACCCTAAACACATTCT